CGACTGCTGCCATCGCGACCCGGTAACGGATAAGCGGATGAAAATGGATGGATGGATGGATTTTCATTAATAAGGTTGTTGACTACTGGTGGTTTTGTAGTCAAGAACACACAACAAGAAGAAACACCAAACCTAGACTCAACAACAGTTGTTCTAGTTTATAATGCCTATGTATCCTTGGGCAAGATAGTCCAATTAGCCTGTGTGATAGAGAAAGTGTAGCAACTAATAAAGACGTAGTCAAGATTAAAATTGACAAGTGAAAATGACAAGTATCATAACAAGCAATACCCGTACTTTACATTTAAAACCAAATGTGTATCATTAAACCGACATTATTCATTTTAATATTAAATTTGAGTGTGTTCATTTTAACCCTTTCATGCATGACGGTCACTACAGTGGACAGCTATTAAAATGTCATTTTCTATGATAAGAATAGGTGTTTGATGGCAGTGTTGCATATAAGCCTCTACAGTGGACGCCTGAGAATCACCCAACACTGTCATACAGTGGTCAGCCTTTGCAACTGCAGAATAATTGTGTTAACATTCAAAAAGAAAAATTTGGTGTATAAAAACAGAACCAAATCAGTTCTTATTTTTATGTCTAAAAACCCTTTTTTTAACTCAGTATATCATGGGTCATGCATCAAAGGGTTAAATCAAGTTATAACTTGACCTTTTGTAAACAACCATTAGTCTCAAAGGCAGAAACCCAAAGTGTTTGTTCTTCTGTGTATCACGCCACTTTGACCAGTAAGTGATGATTAGGGGTTTGTCCTGAGTGAAGCAACGTCCACTGAGGATTCGTCTGTTGTTCACTCCGGTGTGGGTGTCACACAGGAGAGTACAGCACCGTCTTTCAAGCTCATTACAGCATCTTGCATCAGCCCTGCACTTGTGTCTTCTTCTTGAGTTTCAGATACTTGACGACAACAACTTTATTTATTGTCACCACTACTCATAACACTATGTATAAAAAAACCACCTAAATTTTACATGGGTTTACGTATCTACTACTTTTTGCAGTCTATTAATCTCAGATACTTGACGACAACAAATTTATTTATTGTCACTAATACTCATAACAGCATGTATAAAAAAACCACCTAAATTTTACATGGGTTTACGTATCTACTACTTTTTGCAGTCTATTAATCTTTCAAATACGCAAGCATATATATATATGAGCAAATAGAGAGAACCAGGGCTTAATCTTAGGGATGTTTGATACTAGCTTTTTGTCGATAACCGATATGCCGATATTGACCAAACTTTATTTCTTAATTCAACCGATACTTGGAGGTGTTTTTTCCACAAAACAATTGTTAATAGGGATGTCCGATAATATCGGCGGACCCGATATTAGCATAATTACGTCCTCTGATAATGAAAACCTGATACCTGAATGTCTGGGTTTCGTCAACTGATGTAAGTGGTGCACAGCGGAGCTGGATGACATCTGCCTGCCATTGCTGCTGGACACAGCAGCTTCCAGGTCCCAGCTCAGCGAGTCCACAATCCGGCGACTCTTTGAAGAGAAAACTGGTTAGAAGACATTAAATCCAACAAAGTCAGTTAGATTCCAGTGTGATGTGAGCTGAAACAAGTGTTTTTGTCTGTACATTTGTACAGCTAACAGCAACAACGAGAGGGAGAATTTGAAAAATAACGGCCTCCTTTTCAGCATTATTATCAGATGTTCACTTTTTACTCCACCTTCAGCTATCCGTTTTTTTGCCATTCTCTTGCTAAACATGTACAGCATTGGACAATATGCTGTGTCACGGTCAGTCGTTCATTCCATCAGCCTCCCCAATGTTTATTAACGTCTCTTTGTCTGAAACATACGGAACGTAACCATCAGGCAACAGCACAGAATAACGTTCTTTCTTCTTTCAGCTCTGAGTTATGTTACTTTTACTCTGTTCTGTACCGTAAGAACGACGACAGGTAGTCAAATTGGAACGGTACCGTCGCCAGGTCACATGACCGCACACCGAGGACAGCTAATGGGCTAACGCAAGACACACTATTATGTCACACGAAGGAAACGTCCAGTTTTACATATATTCACTTCATTACATGTTATTCTACTCTACTCTTACTCTATTGGCTGGAGTGCTGTTAACCTATGCTTTGCATTTCTGTTGTACCGCTGCTACCTAGTGTGACTGGGGTAGTCGCAAATATCCCAAAGGTATTGCATGAATTCTGTATTACTTTAACAGAAAACCCAATGTTTAACCCCCTTTTCCTTTCACCTGTCCATCGTATTGTACTGATGACCGCTACACATGGCCTATAAAGTTGAATTGGCCGCTACACATGGCCTATAAAGTTGAATGGCTTGACCTCAGGTCTTGCCGTTAAAGAAAATCACGTCAATAATATTCTCTTGTTCACTATGGAACTGTATGGTCGCTGTGCTTTCTATCGGGGGATTTCATGATTGAACTGGAGCAAAGTTAAGAAGTTAGAAACACCGATTGCATCTGTATGATGTAAGGTGTGTGTGAAGGACCCTGGGGTTTTGTTGACATGTGTTTAAATTGAGATCTACCCAAAGCCCAGAGACCAGTTCTCACATGTTCTTCTGCCCGACTGAACAAGTCTTAAGCTTTTGGTTTTCACAGCCCTGATGGAGGATGAAATGAACGTCACCTACATTACTTTTACTGGCCACATAAATGTGCCGAGATACAGATACGTTTACTTTGTTGTCATGCTGATGCTCTACATTCTGATCATCTTCTGCAATTCAACGATTGTGTGTCTCATTGTGATTAAGAAAAACCTGCACAAGCCGATGTACGTTTTTATCGCAGCCTTGTTAATCAACTCCGTTCTTTACAGCACCGTGATCCATCCCAAGCTCCTCATCGACTTCCTGTCGCCGAGACAGTTAACTACGTTTCACCCTTGTTTATTTCAAGCGACCGTTTATTACACTTTTTCAATTTCAGAGTTCTTACTCTTGTCTGCCATGGCCTATGACAGGTACGTGTCCATATGTAAACCTCTGCAGTATCAGAACATCATGAGAAGATCCACCGTCGTAATTTTTTTGCTTTCCGCCTGGATTGTGCCTGCGTCTGAGCTCGGGATCATGTTCATCTTGTACTTAAACATCAAAGTCTGCCACTTTAGCCTTCGAGGGATTTTTTGTAACACCACGATTTACACACTCCAGTGTGTCAGGTCTGGAGTCACATCTGTATATGGAGTGGTCATCTTGCTGAACATCTGCCTGCTTCCTGTTCTCTTCATCCTCTTCACCTACACCAGGGTCCTCATCGTCTCCAACAAAAGTTCTAGAAAAGTCCAGACTAAAGCTACTCAGACCTGTTTACCTCACATGCTAGTTTTAATCAACCTCTCTGTTTTTATCACTTTGGATGTTGTAGTCGTTAGAATAGGAGCACATTTACCCAAACTTGCCAATTTAGTTCTTTCACTACAGATGACGGTCAGTCACCCTCTGCTCAACCCCTTTATCTACGGACTAAAGATGAAGGAAATTTCGAAACACCTTCAACGTCTACTGTTTCAGCTGAGATCTCACCGAGAGGTCAACGCTAAATCAATGTGATGATTATGGAACGTAATGCTACGATGAATCTGTTTAGAATCTCTGCGCTGATCTCTGTTAAATCTCTGTGCTGAAAAACAACATTTATGATAGATAGATAGATAAATAGATGGATAGAGAGATATAATCTATGTATTATTTCAATATTTGGTCTATTTAGTTATTGTACTAATCAGAAATAAAAGTAGAACATCACATTGAGGGTTATTGTGCAGGTACAGAATATACCTGCACAATAACCCTTTGATGCATGACCCATGATATACTGAGTGTTTTTTACGTGTTTTTAGACATAAAAATAAGAACTGATTTGGTTCTGTTTTTATACAGCAAATTTTCTTTTTGAATGTTGACACAATTATTCTGCAGTTGCAAAGGCTGACCACTGTATGGCAGTGTTGGGTGATCCACTCAGGCATCCACTGTAGAGGCTTATATGCAACACTGCCATCAAAACCTATTCTTATCATAGAAAATGACATTTCAATAGCTGTCTACTGTAGTGACCGTCATGCATGAAAGGGTTAACATGATTATTAATTGCGTAGCAAAATTGTAATTAAATATTTTGTGAATTGAGATATAAGAATATTTTTTCTTGTGTTCTTTAAACGTGTATCAACAGTTCACAATAAGTAATATTGAACAGTCCAGGATAAACTTGTCCCTTGTATGGATTTTATTATAACTTAAACCTAAGTTTATCTGAACAGGTGAAAATTGCTCCATACAGGTAGAGACTGGAACAAATGCAATATGCAAAAGATCCCAGAGAGAATAGAATAGAATAAAATAGAATAGAAAAGAATGCCTTTATTGTCATTATACTTTCAGTACAACGGAATTGTAGCCGTTCCTTATACAGTGCAAGAAGCAGTATCAGTGCAAGAAAGCACGATAAATTATACGCAGGGATATAAATATATATAAAAAAAATCTAAGTAAAAATATACATGGAGGTAGGTGCAGTGTTGACACATATTGCACATGTATGTTGTCCAGCGGAATGGACTATTGCACGTGATTGAAATTGCACATATAACAAGGTAATGTACAGATTATTGTGTTACCAGTGATACACTGGTAGACGATACGGTAGCGGCTAAGATGTACGCTACCGTATGTGAACAAAAAAATGCCTTAGGATTCTTCAAAATCTGGTAGACGGTACGGTAGTGGCTAACATGTACGCTACCGTATGTGAACAACATAAAGACAAAATTAAAAAAATGCCTTAGGATTCTTCAAAATACGCTAAATATGTAACCATGTGCATAATTTGTACTTAATTTAAAAAAAAACATATTTTGGGCTGTGTAAAACTAAAAAACTAAATGACTGACCCGGTATGACTATCGTGAAAAATGTTTTAAAAATATTTCAAAAATGCCTTAGGATAACTATGTGTATAATAAGTACCATTATATTTTGGTTTTGGTGAAAACAAAACGACTATCCCAGTTATGACTAATAAAAATAAATTTGTTTGCCAAAAAAAAAAAAAAAAGAAAATAAATTTATTTGCCAAAAAAAAAAAAAGAAAAAAGAATTCCGTGGTAAAAATTTGACTGAAAGAAATTGTGTAGTCCTAGAAGAAGAGAAAACACTTTTGACTTGTCCTTTCATCAGGACACCACGGCAAGAGGCTACACAGTGATTTTACAATGAATGTCCTTCTTGCTCGCACCTAATTTAGGAATGGGGACTAGGTGTCAAACTCAGAATCTTCTGCACCACCCCAGCCCTTGAACTGGGACTGTCCTAATGTTTATGAATAAACACAAATTGACAATACGTTGATGATTAACCCTTTCATGCATGACGGTCACTACAGTGGACAGCTCTTAAAATGTCATTTTCTATGATAATAATAGGTTTTGATGGCAGTGTTGCATATAAGCCTCTACAGTGGATGCCTGAGAACCTCCCAACACTGCCATACAGTGGTCAGCCTTTGCAACTGCAGAATAATTGTGTCAACATTCAAAAAGAAAATTTGGTGTATAAAAACAGAACCAAATCAGTTCTTATTTTTATGTCTAAAAACACGTAAAAACACTTAGTAACATTTTTTTTAACTCAGTATATCATGGGTCATGCATCAAAAGGTAAAATTATGTATTGCTTTTATTTACAATTAATGGTATTTACTAGTAATAAAATGCCCGGGTCTATTGAAGAAACTTACGAAGACAACATTCAATTACGATGTGTAGGAGAAGTAGAAAATTCTAAGGTCACAAAAGATTTGTTGATTTTTTAAAATTTTATTTTAGTTTAACAACAAACATTGATCATTTCTGTTCAAACTCCCTCTGTACGCCCCCGGCCGATCGGCTCTTGGACACTAAGGTCTCAGTCCCAAGGCCTCAAGACAAGCTGTCTCTGTCTCGTTTCTTTTAGAACCAAGGTACATTGTGTCTAAACCGTTTGTCATGGGGTAAAATAGCAGTAGTCAAAGGCAAAGAGCCACAAATTCTACTGTGTTACTGCAACATATAGATATACATGGGCACCTGTGAACTGTCCCGTCCCTTTAAAAAAAATACAATAAAATAAAACTTCCTGTGTACATCTTCTCATCTAAGTCATTTGCATCAATACACAAACAGAAGGTCCGACATGAACCTAAGAGCTGCATAAAACCGGGCAAAGAGCTGCATTTGGCCCCCCGAGCCAAGGGTCGGCCATGCCTGCGGTTAAACATTATTTACATGTGACAAATTAATAAACATGGTGATACCATGATCAGTGCTGCTGAAATAGATGCTTCAGGTGTTTGGAGATTTCTTTCATCTTTATTCCGTAAATAAAGGGATTGAGCAAAGGATGGTTGATGGTCATCTGTAACGTCAGGATTAAATTCGGAAGTTTGGGTAAATCGATTCCTAGTCGGAGGAAGATGATGTCGTAGGAAATAAAAGTGGAGAGGTTGATTAAAACCAGCAGGTGAGGTAAACAGGTCTGAACGGCTTTGGCCTGGACCTTTTTAGAACTTCTGTACGTTATGATGAAAATCCTGGTGTAGGTGAAGAGGATGAAGAGAACAGGGAGGAGGATGAGACTGGACAAAATAAAAAATCCAAACATGAACAGCTCCATTGACTTTTCACACGGGAGCCTGTAAATTAAGGTGTTACAGAAGATTCCTTTGAGACTGAAGTGACAGATCTTTATGTTAAAGTACAGCACGACGATGACGGACAGCTCACAGGTCGGAAAGAGCCAAGCTGAAATCAGAAAGGCTGTGACGGTGGATCTTTTCATGATATTCGGATACTGCAGCGGTTTACATATGGAGATGTACCTGTCGTAAGCCATTGCTGACAAAAGCAAAAACTCTGACGCCGCCAGACCGTAATGTATACAAGTCTGAAATATGCACTCTGAAAATGTAGTGAGTTGTTTCGCCGACAGGAAGTCGATGAGCAGCTTAGGATGGATCACAGTGCTGTAAAGAACAGAGTTGATTAACAAGGCAGATATAAAAATATACATAGGCTTGTGCAGGTTTTTGTGAATCACAATGAGACACACAATGGTGGAGTTAAAGCCGACGATTAGAATGTAGATCATCAAAATGATTACAAAGTAGATGTATCTGTATCTCTTCACATCCACGTGTCCATCGAACACGATGTAGGTGATGTTTAATCCCCCCTCCATCAGGGCTGCAGGGATCGCTTATACAGGCAGATAATATAAGGACCGCATGAACACGTCACCTAGATTACAATACACAGAGACAAGGTTTGGACTTTTTTTTTATTTATCTGATTACTTTAGCCTCCATAGATCTCATTAAACCCTTTAAAGTTCACAAAACCCCAGGGTGCGCGACACGTAGCCTTAATCACCCAGGGTCATTTTTTCTTTTGAAAACTTTTTCTGGGTTAATCGTTTCTAGAATAACCTTTAGTTATCCATTTATTAAAAAGAAAATCTTTAACATACACCACTATTGCTCAGGCACCATCTTACCGTAAAAAAAAAAAAAAAATTCTGTTTCATAACCGTTCAGCATACCGAAGCCATCGGCACACAAAAACATAAAAACAAATAAGCCTGTCATATTTATCAACACATAATGATTGCATTGATAAATGATAATTGTCATTGTCTTGTAGTAACGTCAATCGTTAGCGTAAAGCGCAAAACCGACAATGTTAAAATGGAAGCAAAGCTGAGACCTTGTGTGACTACATTAGTGGTTCTCTATTGTTTTCTGTCATGTCCCCCTAGGGGACAAACAGTTTTTCACACCCCCTCCCATGAATTTAAATACTATTCAGAACCGAATAATATGGATTTTCATATCTGTACAAACCACTGTATGAGTTGCTGCCATGTAGTGTCATGTAGTGTATGCTTCTATAGCTTTCAAGCACACTGCTGTCCAGCATGTCATATTCTCTCTTCTCTCAAATCTTTTTTTTTGAAAAATAAAAAAAGGAACTTGCACCGCAGCTTGCTAATGAACTTGTCACAGACTTCAGACTTCAGTCCTTCTGATCCAGAAAAGATCATTATCACACCAATTTTTCCTGCTTCACCTTTGACTTGACACCGGGGTGTCAAACTCATTTCCACCAGGGGACCACATCAGCAATACAGTTCCCCTTGAAGGGCCAGTTATAACTGTAAGACAGTATAGCTGTAACTACTTTGTAACATATTCATTAATATTCAAAAATACAAAATTTATAATAATAAATATATAATATAATATATATATACATATATACTGTATATGTATATATATGTATATATGTATATGTATATATGTATATACATACATATATACATAAATAAGTTGCAGAAACATCCATCCATCCATCCATTTTCATCCGCTTATCCGTTACCGGGTCGCGGGGGCAGCAGTCGCCACCCAAATCACATTGCACCGTACCAATCCTTCCTGCGGGTGGTGAGTCCACTGGAAGGTACCAACCGCCCTAACCGGGATTCAAACTTGCCCAGGAGGTGAACCCTGGGGTTATTGCAGAAACATGTGTTTTGTATTTTTGAATATGAAAATAAATGTTGTATTTATATATATTATTTATATATATATAATATATATATAATATATATATAAATACAAAATGTATTTTCATACAATTGCAGAAACATGTGTTTTGTATTTTTGAATATGAAAATAAATTTTGTATTCATATATATTATTTATATTATATATGTATATATATTATATATTGATTACTACTTATTTATGTTACAAATACTGTTAATTGCTCTTTGTAATACAATCAGGTTGTATCAAGTTAAAAAAACTCAGCAGCATGCAACTCTATTATAAGGCAATTATAAGGCAAGCTACCTCAATGACTTGGCAGGCCGCGTATGGCCTGCTGGCCTTGAGTTAGACACGTGGTCCAAACCATTCTATATTCTTTACCAAAGAAACATCTGGCATTGATTTGAAATATTATTTTTTTTATTTTCTTTTTAGAATATATCACAGACATCATCAATAAGAGCAGCATCTTAACAATAACATTCTCAAGAAACGAAGGTGAGAGGAGATTAATGGTTGAGTTTTCTTCGAGGAAGACCAGTTGTTTGTCTCTATCTATCAAAACAAATTGTAAACTTAGATTAGGACACCTAATGGTTGTATCTTAAACAGTGATGTAATTAAATATGTTTTTTTTTTCACAGATGAAAGGTTGGATGTATTGAAGGTATAAGAAGTTTGTTCAAAACCTCACTGGACAACACCTTTAAAAAAGATGACATTTCGAATGAACATTTATTATTTCCACCATGACTTTCTCAGTGAGATCTAAGAGAAAATAAAAGAAGTTTGAGGGGTTTGGCGATTTCTTTCATCTTTAGCCCGTAAATGAAAGGATTGAGCAGGGGATGACTTATAGTAATCTGGAAGGTCAGAATCATGCTCACCAGTTTTGGTAAATTTGCACCCATTCTGACCACGATGACATCGTATGTTATGAAACAGGAGAGGTTGATTAAAACCAGCAGGTGAGGTAAACAGGTCTGAACAGCTTTAGTCCGCACTTTTTTGGTACTTCTGTAGGAGATTATGAAAATTCTGGTGTACGTGAAGAGGATGAAGAGAAAGGGAAGCAGACAGATGGTCAGTAAGATGACCACTCCGTATACGGACATCGTTGTGGAGCTGACACACTGCAGAGTGTAAATGGCTGTGTTGCAGAAAAGTCCGTTCAGTGAAAAATGACAGATTTTGACATTAAAATACAGAACAATCGAAACGGTCAGTTCACAGGCCGGAAGAAGCCACGCTAAAAGCAGAAGGACTACGACGGTGGATCTTCTCATGATGCTGTGATACTGCAGAGGTTTGCATATGGACGCGTACCTGTCATAGGCCATGGCTGACAAAAGTAAAAACTCCGAGGTGGAGAAAATGTAATAAAAACCACCCTGGAACACACAGTTTGTAAATGTAGTGATTTGTTGTGGAGACAGGAAGTCGATGAGCAGCTTGGGATGAATCACGGTGCTGCAAAGAACAGAGTTGGTTAACAGAGCCGCGATAAAAATGTACATCGGCTGGTGCAGGTTTCGGCGTGTCACAATCAGACACACGATGGTGGAATTGCAACAGACGATGAGAACGTAGCACGTCAGCATGACGACAAAGTAAACATATCTGTATTTCTGCACGTCCACGTGTCCTTCAAAAGTGATGTAGGTGACATTGGATGTGTCCTCCATCGGAACTGCGATTGGGAGACGACGGCTTATGAATCTTACGGAGCTTATGCAAGCAGATGATAAAAGGGATGTAGAGACTGCAGCAACATGTCACCTGGACTAGATTACACCAAGCTGAGTTGCGCAAAGTTAACCTTTCTGTCTCTGTGGTCTCCTTTTTTTTATCTGGTTGCTTCAGCCCCCATGGATCTCATTAAACTCATGTCAACAAATGCCAGAGCCCTTAACACACAGCTTTCATCACCCTGGAACTCTCAACCAATGTGGCCCTTTTTTTTAGGCATGTTTTTACTACTGTAATAATATTTCAGTTCATTTTTGTTTTTCAGCTCAGATAACCCGAAGTACTGAAGTACAATAAGAATTATGTTGTTAATGTTTTAAAACCAGTGGTTCCCAAACTTTCTCTGCTGGGCCCCGCTTTAGTTCATAAGGAAATTTTCAAGACTCCAACCCCAAACAAATTAAAAATAACAGGACAAACACATATTTTGTTTAACTACAACTGTTTTCACCCACGTTAAACTCGTCCATTTTATTCTAGCATTGCCGCCTATGGTCAGTTCGAGCAGATCGAATCGGCGAATTACAGTGGAACCTCAAGAATTTGGAGTACTTTCGATATACGAGCAACTCTTCGAGCAAATTTGTGCTTTGAGATGTGCGTAAAGAGTTGCGATACAAGCACGCTTACAGACGCCGACGCTAAGTGGCCGAGCACTTGGAGCAGCTTATGCTTCCAATAGTAGCGAAAATCGTGACGTGATTTCCTCTCTATTTTGTGCAGTATTCTTCATAATAGTGACGAGTCCTAAGAAAGAGAGTGGTAAGGATGGTAGGGAGTCGTAGTACATCCACGATAAAAAACAGAAAACAAAAGGTAAGTTAAGCTAATTCTAAGGTTATCTAAGTTACATGGTGTACGTGTACGGTACGCTACAGAATCAAACCTCTACGTACGGGCCAACTCTCTTCCCTCCCTCCCTCCTCCTCCGCACACGCCGCCATTAGCCGCTACTGTATCGTCTGTCTCGTTAAGTTAAGAACTCGTACGTATTATGCTTGTTATCTCCAGGTTCCAATGTAATTATCAGGTGTTCATTTTACACCGCCTTCAACCAATGTGAATTTTACTTCTCAGTGTTGAAATGTTACTAATTAATTGCAATTAAGTCTGTGAGAAAAAGCCACACGACACAACATATTTTTTTCCAAGTTTGACAGGTCTGAGGACGTTGCGCATTAAAGTGGTGAGAAACAATTGGTGAATCAAAGAAAAGTTGTTGTACCAAAACAAAACACTGGTCAAGGTATGGGTAAAATAAATGTCATTAAATGGGATTATGCTAACCAAACATGCAGATCTCTTAAAATATTTGCACAGTGATCTGGGGCGCTGAAAAGGGGGGAGGGGGGATTCTAGGGGCCCATGATTAGGATTGGCCCAGAAAAACTATAATGCTTACGGAGTCAATGGTACCATAAATGTCCATAGTGTCATGTTAAAAAAAAGCATCAAAATGTTTGGCAGCTAGTGTCACCAGCGATCAGTTCAACAAAAGTTTGGTTGGTTTGGACCAAGTATGTGGAGTAAAACTCTTGCATCATCTTCCTCTGAGGCTGGTAAAACTCAGGTAGACGACATCTCCATCCACAGATGCTCAGAGATAATGTAAAGATACAGTAATGAGTTGACAATAGCCACATGCATGACGGTCACTACAGTGGACAGCTATTAAAATGTCATTTTCTATGATAAGAATAGGTTTTGATGGCAGTGTTGCATATAAGCCTCTACAGTGGACGCCTGAGAATCACCCAACACTGCCATACAGTGGTCAGCCTTTGCAACTGCAGAATAATTGTGTCAAC